GACGGAGTATGAATTTAAAATTTTTTTACTCATAGGATTTCGGTTTGGAAAAATGCAGCAAGAAGAATGGGCCAGATGGTCTCATGATGCTATTAAGGGTTAGCTTTTGCTTTAGTACTTATTTTGTATTAAAACAGGTTCTCTTTGAGTTTGTTTGTTTGTTTGTTTAATTCTCTTAGATTTTAAACAAGCCTATGTTCAAAAGGCTACGAGATAAGACTGGAGTCAAGGAATTAGATTAAACTATTTTCAAATGTCTGAATCCTGAAAGAAAGTTGTCAAAAGTGTATAAATACAGACTCGGCTTAGACTCACACTAAAAGATCTGCAGTCACATACCCGCATGGGATTTAACAGACACCCAGGGGGAAGGAATTAATTTGTCTCTTACTACAGTTAACCTATTAAGAGGGTGGTTCTGATCTAAGCCACTTACATAGATTTTTACTGATGATAAACATTGAAATTTAAATGTGTGAAACTCACAGGAATAAGTGTTAGGTGATTCATTTTGTGTAAGATATATTTTTGTTCCAGCATGATGACTGTGTACCATATGGCCAGTACCCTGGGGATGATGATTAAAAGAACTGAAGGGGATTGAATATCCTGTGACGCATTTGAAAAAGGCTTAAGGGACTTGGTAACAAGAGTTTATGATTTATGTTCTTTGTTTACTTGGCAACCAGCCATGAGGTTTTTGCAGGTACAGGAGAAGGCGGCAGTACAAATTTAATGCATTTACTTCTCAGAGTCACTGCAGCTGAGGCTTTTCCTCTTTTTAATTATGGCATAATCGTATGATTTAATAACACCTAATATGTTTGATTTGTAATCATTTTATTTTTATTTATTATGCTGATATTTTGGCGTTAAATTTGAGTTTTCACATGGATGAGAGTCTTTGTAAATAATAAAGGCATAGCTAACAAAAGTCCTCAGGCAACTATTTATTTACAAATTCAGAACTATGTTTATCAAAAAAGTTAAAGGAGAACACTGAAGAGTTCCATAGAAATCTTATTCTAATAATTAGTTATGTAACCTTAACATCTTAGAATTATAAATTCCAGGATCCCTGGTCTGAAAAGAAAGCTGATTATCCTAAGGCACTTGTGACTGTGAAAAACAGTATTATTTATGTAAGTATTTTGGATCACAATGAGTTTGTTTGTACTACATCATCCATGGTGCCCTTACTTTTAATTAGTAGTTAGACATAGCGGTTGATGTGATTTAGCCTGTCTTGCAGCTAGGCAGTGGTAAATAAACTCACTCTGTAGTATTGATTTGGTTTCTCTAGGTTACCTCAAAGTATTATTGCTCTCAACCTTTGCTTTACAAAGTTTTGAAACCTTACTTTGAGTTCTTTAAGAAAGTACATTTTGTATTCTTAGTATACAAGACATAAATATCTAGAAGGAATTATAATCCAACTAATACATTGGAAATAGTTATAATTATTCAGTTGAATAATTAGGTTGAATGATTAACATTCGTGTACATAAAACTAACTTTGTCTTGAGTGGAGGAAGGGTACCAATACCAAGCACTATTCTGAGAAAAGATGACATTTAAGTGATCCAGATAAGAATTTTTTAAGTCTTGGATTTAATTATTCAGGCACTGATCATTTGTTTTAGATTAAGCTTATCATGATACTATGCATTCCTTTTAAATTCTCTTGCTTTTCATGAGTTGGCAGTTATTTGCTAATTTGCAGCTTATAAAAAGTTTAAAATAAATCTTAAGGGTCCTCTAGCTCAACAGTTTTGCTCTAAGGCTCTTTGTGTTGACAAGGAATGCAACACTTCTAATAAGCAGCTCACTTCGTTTCAGGACAAGTTTAAAATCTAAATTCTGTTTTATTTTTATTTTTTTCATTTTATTATTATTTTTTAAAAGATTTTATTTATTTATTTGAGAGAGAGAGAGAGCACAAGTGGGGTGAGGGGCAGAGGGAGAGGCAGACTCCCCACTGAACAGGGAGCCTGATGTGGGGCTTGATCCTGGGACTCCAGGATCATGACCTGAGCTGAAGGCAGACTCCCAACCAACTCAGCTACTCAGGTGCCCCATTTTATAATTTTTTAAAAAGATTTTATTTATTTATTTAAGAGAGAAAAAAGAGAGAAAGCATGAGCATGGGGAGGGAGGGAGAAGCAGACTCCCTGCTGAGCAGGGAGCCTGTAGCGGGGCTGGATCCCAGGACCTTGAGATCATGACCTGAGCTGAAGGCAGACGCTTAACCGACTGAGCCACCCAGGCGCCCCTGTAAATTCTGTTTTAAATTGCCAAAATTTGTCCCTGGGTTTCCAGCCTTTAACAGTAGTTTTACCATTTGAAGGTATCCTCCTTTACCTAGCAGCCATTTAAATAATGTAAAGCAGGGCGCCTGGGTGGCTGAGTCTGTTAAGCATCTGCCTTTGGCTTGGGTCCTGATCTCAGGGTCCTGGGATGGAGGCCCACATTGGGCTCCCTGCTCAGTGGGGAGTCTGCTTCTTCCCTCTCCCTCTCCCTCTGTGCTCTCTCTATTTCTCTCTCTCTCTCAAATAAATAAAATCTTAAAAAAAAAATAATTTAAAGCAGTTATCTTCTCTTCTTTAGGATAATATTCCCAGGGTTTTCAGGTATTACGCAGAGTCTGGTTCTAAGGTATTTTACTCTCATAGCCTCCCTTCTTCCCTTCTTTCTCTTTTATCCCCCATTCTCCTGGTTTGTTAGCCTCTGAATGTGTTCAAGCTTGTCTTTTGACCTTTAAATTGTAGCACAGGAAACTGGATACAGTGCTTCCCACTTTCTGTATGTCTCACCCATAGCCTTAGCTTGGAGTTTATTTACATTTTAGGTGTCCTCGTCATTCTTTTAACTCATTTGAACCTTCTGTTCACTAAAACCTGTTACAATGTTTTTCATACACAGTAGTGAAAAGCCTCATCTCTTTACTTAGCTAGTGCTTGTGCAGCTAGTGGAAAGATGTTCTCCCACATGCTTTCACTATTATTTGATGGTGAACAATGGAAGGAAAATAATGTATATCTCCCTTCAGTAAAAATGGCACCAGGTTAGGTAGTCTAGCCAAAGGTTTGCGGATAGTACAGTGAAGCCAATGGCCAAAACAAAGTTTGTGGATAATTTATTAATTCAGACAAAATATCTCTCATTTTCCATCCTAAATAATGTGCTCTTGAGATCTGTACTTTCTGCCTCCAAAAAAGGTTTTAGGTAACTTATTCTTGGTGTAGGAGCAAGAGAAGGCTCTGAGGTATAGAAACAGGTATACAAATAGGGTCCCAGGTGTTTGAGACCCTGAAGATGAGATTTCTATAGCTCTTTTGAGACTGAATCTAAAAAACTACGCACATTTAGAAAGCATTGCTCTTTTGTTTTTGTTTAAGTTAATGGTGGAAAATGTGCAGATTATTGCTATATATTTCTACCTTTGGCTGCTTTTTGACAATTGGATCCACATAAACAATTTTCCCTCAGCCTTTTTTTTGAACAGATAATCTGACGTCAGATTGACCCCTTATTACTCCTTCAAGATTCTTCTTCAGGAACACATTATGTTCAGGCCTCTCTGGACAATTCCATGCACTTCCATGTTTGTTTGCTCTTTCTCATGTGTTCTCTTTGTCTAAAATAACTAATAAACTCTTGTACTCAGTATTCAAAGCCCATCTCAGCTTTCCTTGGTGTTTCCTACTTTAGACTGAGTTAATTGCTTTTTTATTCTTCCTCCCAATGTTCTATATGTATATCTATCTATCTATCTATCTTTATTCCATTTACATACATTTTTAACTTGTTTTTATCTACATTTTAAATCTATGGGTTTTGTTTATTCTGTACCATACGGGAAATACCTCAAGGGCATAGGCCTATTTTATAATCTTCATAGGAATGTATATAGGAATATTGTAGTGTTTAACAAATGTTTGTCAAAACTGTAATATATATATATACACATACATATATATGGTATGCTCACCCACATATACATACACATATACAAACACATTATAGGTACAGATTTATTTGCTTCTTTTGTTTGAAAAATTATACACAAAACAATTATCAGAGCTAGGAACTGACCTCAACTTGTAGATAACTTTAGAATTGTTTTCTTAAAAATGACTGAATTTATACATCATTTTCACAAACACTTATTAACTTTCATCTGACATCCCTATTTATTTGTCACTGTTTCCAGATAGTTTTAGGCATCACATTTTGTTATTTTTGGTGAAAAATATATCTCATTTAGAATTGAAAACAGTTTGGCTTTTGTGGAAATTAGCATTTACAATAGTTGAGAATCAACTTTACTTAGTTGGAAAGCTCTCAGATCACAAATTATAATTATGCCATGTAAACTACTAGAAGGATTAAAAAACTGAGGATGGGAATTGATATTCAGGTTTCCTCCATTATTTGAAAGTTTACTTTTTTAAAGACCCACATCAGTACCTGTTTTTGCTCACTGAAAGAAATCTGAAGAGGATTTTTGCTTTTATGAAGCAGTAATTGCTTCCTTGCTTTATGCCATTTTAGCTTTTAAAAGGTTTCATAGGAATGCTCTACTTTCATAGAGCAGAGGAAACCTGTATTTGTTTTTATTTGAGCATAAAAATGTGAATGAGTGTGATTTACAAGCTGAGTCATCTGCTCTGATCTGGGCAAAGCGTTTCAATGATTGGCAGGGGATGTGGAAAATCCTGCTCTAAGCCTCAGATAATCTTCTTATCCACCTTTTTTTAGTCTCCTTGTAAATGAGGGTTTCAGGAATGGGGGGGGTGGAGATGGTGGTTAAGAGCAGTACATCTAGAAAATGTCTGGCCATTGTTGGTCTCTCTTTTAGGGTATACAGATATATGTTTATTCTGAACATTCCATGTTTTGTGTTTCTGTGTGTTGATTAGCTTATCATATTAATCTCCATACTCCTTACTCCCCCTAAAGGTGACATAACATATACCTTATCTTTTTAAATCTTCTAGCATTATTCTTTAACAAACGGAAAATGGATGAAAATAAAGATATGGACTCAAAAGAAAGTGGAGAATATGAAGACGACTTTGAAAAGGACCTGGAATGGTTAATTAATGAAAAAGAAAAAAGTGGTGCCAGCATAATAGAGGTATAAATAAATTGCCAACAGCATTCATAATAATATCATTAACAAAGTGCTTTGTAATTCTTGAAGAGTTTTGCATATATTATGTCATCTAAACCTCACAAAATCCCTTTGATAAAAGTAGAACAAGTATCATTATTTCCACCTTAGAGATGAGAAAATTGAGGCATAAAGAGTTTATATATTGTGTCCTAAGGTGAGGGCTAATTAGTGAGAAAACAGGGATTAAGTTAGCACTTAATAAAATTTAAATTATAATGAAAAGTTATAATTTATATAATATAAATAAATATGATTTATTGTACCAAAAATAAAAATAAGTACAGTTAATTTCTACTTTATATAAACTTGGGTAAAATGGGGTTATACTTTTAATATAAATGAAAAGGTGGTTATACTTTTAATATAATGGGGTTATACTTTTAATATAAATGAAAATAAAGCAAATTCTCAAAAGACATGGTCTTTCAGCTAATATTTGAAACCTTAAGACTGAATTAGTTCTTTAGGGGAATGAATATAGAGAAGAATGTAGCGTCAAAACAGTCATAGGACTACCTTTAGGAAAAAGTGAATTGCTAGATTTGCTTATCAGACATCTAGCAATGCTGTGCAGATTAGGAAAACGTGGATCCATTAAATATTATCATATACTGTTTATCAGACACATAGAATGGAAATCCAGGAAAATGAACCAATTCCTGGATCACAGTTTTTTTTCTCTCTTTATATTTATTTATATACATGTATATGGTGTGTATGTGTATCTGTACATAATCTGTGTGCATATATATGTGTGTGTGTATATATATTAATATGTGTATATATGCTTATGTATATATGTATGAAATTAGAGTCAATATATAGGAAAGTAATGAAGAAAAGATGTAAGACTCATATAAGAATAGGTGACTTTAGAAGGACTAAGAGCTCAGTAATTACACCAGAAGTCAGACTGAAGAAGGTTAAGGAAGAGAGTATAAAAGAAGACAGCAAGTCTTACATCACAGATTTCTCTTAGTTCCGTTTTGCTTTCTTATGCAATGGAGAGGACAAATGGGATTATATTTGAAAAAGGCAACAGAGTAAAAAGTCAAGATTTTTCTAAGATGGCCTTTAAATGGGAGTTTTATGCATCTTTAACAGAAAAATAATCAGAATGAGTACAGGCAGAGATACCCAGAGTGATAAGGTTGAACCAAAGTTTCATTACTGGAGGGGTGTGAGATCCAGAGCAGAGTGCTAGAATTAGAGAAGTGATGATCATGATTCATTGTCTCATTTCTCAATTCATTTAGAAAATATTATAATCACCTGCCATGTATCAGAGGCTGTTCTGGGTGCTAGGGATAAAGCAGTGATCAAAACAGAGTGCTCTCATCAATCTTACCTATTCCAGTGGGTGATTATAAAGCATGTCTTCCTTTGAGGCTGGCAGGAAAATTGGATGACAGAGAAAGAGATAGGGTGAGGGCTGGGGGAAAATTTCATTGTAAGAAGTGGTAGTTTTATCGCAGAGGGCTTTTTATTTTTATTTATTCGACTTCTTTTGCAGTGGGTTTTAAAAAGTGAAAGTCAAAGAATAATTAGGAAACCGATACTGTTGGAATGAACCAGAGAGTCAAATATGGCCTAAAAAAACCAATTTCAATGCAGAAATCTTAGTTTAATCTTACTTATTTGTTAGACATTTTAATGGGCCAGGTTAATTTGCTTATCAGACATCTAGCAGTGCTGTGCAGGTTAGGAAGAGGTGGCTATCAGAAAAGATGACCTTTGAGCAAGTAAAAGAGGAAGAGAATTTTAAGGGGTTGAAGAGAGCAGCAAGTAGTACCTCCCATAGAATTGTTTTAGGAGGAAGAGAGTTGTCTGAGAAAAAGAAAAAAATATTGCAAGGTAAAGGGTTTGTTTGGTCGGTGAGTATGTTTGTATGTAGGAGAGATGTTAGGTAGGAAGCCTTTAATTAGAAACAGCAGATGTAGCGTAGGGTTTTGTGATGCGATAATATTGGTCTATGTGGAATTGTTCATTGGTTCATGTGGAATTACACTTTTTTAAAAAAGATATTATTTATTTGAGAGGGAGAGAGAGAGAGAGAAAGGAGTTATGCTTTTTTAATGTAAAACCAAATTATATCATGGTGTTTAGCATAGATTATTGGGACCTCTGAGGATAGTTGAGGAAGGAAAATGTCACCCAGAGATGAAAATTAGCCTGGAATTTGGATATAGATCCTACAGAAAGTAGCAGCAATAATAATCTGAAAAGATTATAAGAACCTCAAAATGATTAGAACTTGACCAAAGACTGATGTTGTAATGATTCTGGAGAGAAAGATACTTTTTTGAAGAATAGAAATATTATAAGAAAACATTAAAAAATTTTTCTTCTGAAAATTTAAAGGGAGGAAAACTTTATAGAGGAAGAATGTTGAAATAATAATGTCTTATTTGTAGTTACCCTTTCATTCATTAGCATGAACATTTAAAAAAATATTAATATAGCACTTAGCAACATCAAATTCAGATTTAGGGTTAAATTTTTCCCAAAGTGCTGATGTCACATGTATTTCCCTTGGGGTGCTCATAAATGTGAATTAGAATATTAAGAGCAAAGTACAAAATAAAAAACATGTACATTTTCCCATTCATAAAATATATTGCATGAATATGAAATTCATTTTGGATCATCTACATATAAGTGGACAAAGAGTCTCAGTTTTTACTCAAGAAAACTTCATATTTTTTTTAGATGGCTTGTGGGAATGAAGAGAATATTAACCAAGAATTAAAAGACAATGAAACAGAAATAGAACACACCAAACAACATTCTGATCCTGACAAATCTTTGAAGGATGAGCTTTCACCAAGAAGAAATGACTTCATTTCTGTACCAAGTATCCAACCTTTGGATCCCGTATCAGATTCAGATAGTGAAAACTCTTCCCAGGAATCCAAAGTGGAAAGCCAGAGAGACCTGGAAGAGGAAGAGGATGAGGAAGTAAGGAGATATATTATGGAGAAAATTATACAAGCCAACAAGATTCTACAGAATCAAGAACCTGTGAATGATAAAAGGGAGCGAAAACTTAAGTTCAAAGATAAATTAGTTGATCTGGAAGTTCCTCCACTGGAAGACACTGATACTCCCAAAAATTATTTTGAAAATGAAAGTAGTATGTCAGGAAAACTGTCACAGTTATGTATTTCCAATGAATTTGGACAAGAAAATGTGCTCCTGTCACTAACTGATGGAAACTGTGAAGAAAACAAGGATAGGAAAATACTAGTAGAGAAAGATGGAAAGTTTGAACTTCTGAATTTACAAGACATTGAGAGTCAGGGGTTTTTGCCCCCCATTAATGCTAATAGTACAGAAAATGAACCTCACCAGTTGTCACCCAGATCTTCCAACTCAAATGTCAATGGGGCTAAGAAAGAAGAGCCTATAGCAAAGATTCATGCTATTGCTTACTCATCAACAGAAGAGCCACTGGCTTATATCCCTCAGCCGCCACCCAACCCCAAGACTCGTCCAAGCTCTGCTGTCAACTCAGATCAAAGTAAGGGGAATAGAAAAGCTAATCACAGGACACAGTCTGCAAATATATCTGCAGTGACCTCAACATATAGTCTTTCCCCTCGACAGAAAGAACTGCAAAAACGGCTAGAACAAAAGAGAGAAAAGCTAAAGAGAGAGGTGAGAACCTAAGGGTGCATCATACTAAAAGCAGAATATATTTTCATGTTTTAGAAATGCAGTAGGAATTAGAATGGTTCCTCAAACTATTGGATATATTTGTTTGCTTGTTTTGTTTTTCTATTGTTAGATTAAGTGGTTAAATATTAAGAATGCATATTTATGGGATAAACATCATGATTATCTTGGTCCTGTCTTGTAAGGTTCACAAAACATCGTAATGAATGACTTGTGTTAGAGGTAGAGATCTCAGTGAGGACATCATCTGGTCCTTTCATTTTAAAGATGAGGCTCAGAGAAGTGACTGCTGAAAGTAGCCTTGGTGTGATAAGGTGAAAATCAGATGTCAGGTGGAAAAATGAAGGCAGAAATTTGGTCGGATTTGGGAGGCAATAGGTAGATTTGAATTATAATTCTTTGATTTACGTGTGTGTGTGTTTTCACATATCTTCCATACCTACAATTCCTTGATTTCAGGGATTTTAGTTTTAGATTAAGAATAGAGCCTAATAACCTTAACGAAGTATTTCCAAAGTGCCATATGGAATCCCAGATGATGATGATGATGATGAAGGTTTTGTTCTGTTGATCAAGAAGAGGCTGTGAAGTAACCAAAGCATTTTTATTTGAGCTTTTAGGTAAGATTGCAATCCAGGAGACATAGTGTCAACCTCAATCAAAAGTGTACTCTGAATAGTGAGCAGGGAGTGCAGGCCTATAAAGGCAAAACCCACAAGGTTACACAACTTGTTTTGAAAGAATTATGATTGGTGATGGCAGAGTTTAAACTATCTAATACACATTGGCTATGTAGCTAACAGGTGTTACATTATTTCAGTCCAAAGTACCAGGTGGTGGTGGTGGTGGGGGGGTTGCAAATGACAAGCTGCAGCTGACAAAAGTCAACAGTTTATGGTAGGCTGAGAATTGAAACAGGAGACTTGAAATAGACATGCATAGGCCCTACTTCCTCAATGTTCTTTCAACTCTGTTTTGAGTGGCTCTCTTAGCAATGCTTACTTCATTTTGAATCTTCTTTCAAATTTCCCCCTCCTCATCAAGATCTTTCTAGTAAGAAAGCACCAGTGACAAATTTTTATGATCATGCAATCTCATTTCATTGTCAGAGTGGTTGGCACTGGCAACTTGCAACTTGCTCAGGCCCCATCATGTCTCCCAGAGGGCGGAGTCTCATAGTGGTTGATACTTGATATGTTCAATAAGCATGCTAGATGAAGGTCTTACAACTACATTTGAGTAACATGGAGGTTTGAGGAAATAAGATTTAGAATTCAATTAGGTTCTCTTTTCACTCAAAGGGTAGACCTGATGAATGGCTTTGAGTCTTTGAACAAACATTATCTGAGTTCTGACAGGATTTGAAACATTGGCCATGAAAAGCATTAACAGTGTGATAATAATGAATACAGAAGAAATTAAAACAATGATAAGTAAGATAATTTGTAGCCCAGATCTTAAAATGGTCCCAATTCTGGTCAGGAGCCAGCTAAAAATATCTGAGAATCTGAAATCTAACCAAAGGTTTTAGAGGATGGGATTAGAGATTTAGCAAGCTTGAAAATCTTAGCAGTTTCCAGTTCTACCTGATGGGAAGTACTTATCCATGTACAGCAAGAAGTATTAGTGATGGCACAGACTCCACCTAGGGTCACAGGTAAATAACCTAATGCTATGCTATTATGGAGGACAACATGAGATAAGGTATCCAAAGACTTCCCCTGGCTCTAATGGCTAGGGAGTGGACCTGGCAATTCTGCTGATGGTCCAAGAAAGATTTCTGATCATGTACTCATTCTAAGCAGTACCTATTCCAAACCAGCAACTGAAGATCCTCCCAAATTGGGCCCCTTCCCTAAGGTTTATCTCTCTTGGGAGACCACAGCCTTGAGAATGCCCACAACTATTATCTTTATATTCAGAGGGGTCTGGATGGGTCTGGATGATCATCATCTTTCAGTTCTTTTCGTGGAGAGATTTCTTTTAGTTCTATGCTTAGTTCCTATATGGTCTCCTTTAGTAATCAATTTAAGGACAGAAAAAGGGGAAGTTAGACATCCCAGGAGGCACTGTCTTGCCATTCTCCAGCTGTCTAGGTAGTCAAATGCCCAAGATTCTTCCCTGTAAATGCAGGCAAAAATACATCTTGTAGGAGTGCAAAGTGTCTCTGCTTAGATCTGTTTATTTATGGACTAATTTTTTAGTATAGAGGGTATGTAGGAGAAAACCAGGGATCTGTTTTATTTGAGCAGACAGAAAGAGGGTGGCTGTGTATTTCGATGGTAGCTGAAAGAATCTTTTGCAAGGGTGGTCCTGCAGCTACAAGTGCCTATTGGAGAACATTTGTTAATTGTGCCTAGGCATTTCTGCAAGAGCCAAATATAGGAGGAATATAGCTCTTGATAAATTGTTGGACCATTAGAAATATTTTTCCCTAGCATTTTGAGTGGTTGAAGTGTGAAGCAAAGGGGATTTCCTTTTCTGGGAGGCAAAACTATTTTAACTTGATAAGGTGAGATCAGAGGGGGCAGTCTGGTTTATAGTGAAATTAGGGAGAAGGGTGAAATTATAAATGAGATGACCAAGAGTCTCCTGATCATCCATAGTGGGCTGAGAAAGACATACTCAACAGCCAGAAAGATTACCAGATAGAACTTGCTATGGCTTGGGTTATTTGAATTATGGCACTTGTCTACCACTTAGTTCCTCTAATTTGGGTAGTAATAAGCAGGATCAGAAGGTATTTAATGTTTTAAAAACAATCAAATTCAAGTATTCAAAATCCTACAAGTAGGAATAACAAGAGTGCTAAAATGCCTACTACAAGAAGAATTATTCCAAATATTTCATGAACATTAAGCATTAGTAGGAGTCTTTTGTGAGGTTATGCAAGCTTGGTCATGACTCAGGAAAGCTGTCTGTCTACTTCAGGTACCATGTGCTTCTTGTCCAGATTGTTGATTTTGAGTGGGTCTGGATATTTTTAGTTTGAGATCTTCAGTGGGGATGTCCATCAGGTGAAGATGCCTTTTTTTTTTTTAAATGAGAAATGTTAATCTACGGGTCAATGCCTTTAAATTTAGCAGCACAGGGGTTAGTTAACAATACCTGAGATGGTCCTTTCCAGTGAGGTTGGAGGGCATCCTTGTGAAGGTGACATTTCCAGTAAACAAATCTCCAGGTGGGAGATTATAATGTTGAAGATCTTTGTCTCCTATGAGTGTGTTGGGGAAAGATTGCTCTATGAGGCTGGTATTATTTCCAAGGACCTTGATAAGATCTTTGCAATAGATTAGGAAATTTCCTTTCAGTAGGGTAGGCTCATACATCCCTTGGTCCATCCTCATAGGTGTTCTGATAATGATTTCAAAGGGAGACAATTAGTGTTTACCATATGGAGTGGATCTTAGGTTAAATAATACCAAGGGGAGGGCTTTAGACCAAAGCAGACTGAAAGATTCAATAAGTTTTGTCAATTGGGTCTTTATTCCATTTGTGTTTGTCCTACAGTGCCAGAGTATTGAAATGTTGTAATATTGGCCAGATGTGGCAAATAGCCTGTAATATTTGTCCTGTGAAGTGGCTCCCTCAGTCATTGTGAAGTTCTGAGGTAATTCCCCAGTTTGGAGTTATTTTCTCCAGTGATATTTACCATAGAGCTGAGGCCATAGCACTATGACTAGGAAAGGCTTCTACACAGTGAGAAAATGTACAAACCATTTCAAAGTATAGTTGCATTCTTGAGATAGTGGCAGCTGGACAAAATCCAACTGCCATATTTCAAAGGACCCAGAGGGTAAGGGAAGATGTCCCTGTCATCAGAAGGTAAGGGTAACAGAGTAGCAGGGCTTAGAGAATGATAGTATGCAATAATGACATTTGGGGGAGACAGCAAGAGGGTTTCATAAAAGGTTAATATACTGGAAGACAGATGCTGAGTGTGATGAGTATGATAGTGGAGTTTGCAATGGGAGTTGCTTATTTTTGTGACATACGTTTTAAAATGGTGACTGATAACATTGTATCAGGAAATACCCAGATTTCTAGGGATTTCACACAATTTTTGGAACAATGTATACCTATACAGATGTTATAGGAAGAAAGTATAGTATTATTTATTATTTGACAATGCTTCCCATGTGATTTAACATATCAAATAAGCCTAATAGGTCCTATGGTATTTCCAGATCAAAAAGACCTCATTTAGAAGTTGATTGTGGGGAATTTGTAAAAAATACCAAAAGGTTTGGACACTTAACCCAATAGGATCACAGAAAATTATAAAACAATACTTAATTATCCATTTAACCAAAAGAATCTTCAGGGACAAATACAGAAGATTACACATAGCTACAAAAGCCTTAGCTGTTCTTCTTAGAGAAGATTCAGCTTTCCCAAGTAATCAAAGATGTGATAAAGACAAAACAGAATCTGTTTCCTAGGCAGATTACATTAGAAGTAAAGAAATTTTGTGTACAATCTGTTATGAAGAAAAGGCCAACAATTTGAGAAAATTTTGTCCTTTTAACAGAGAAAACCAAAATTTTGAACTAGTGTACTTTTGATATTGAAACAGAACTTTAAATAAATTCATTTTAATCTTGGCCAGCTTGATTACACATAAAATTCCTTTTCCAAGATTTCTTTCCTATAAACCTTTCCTATAAACCTCTGTGTCTATTTTAGTTTGTCTTGTTATTCTTTCTCTTTCTGAAATAACCAGCTTTAGGACAAAATCACTTTCATTTCCCTCAACAAAATGCATTTCCATTTCCCATACCTTCTTTTACCCAAAACACACGCCCTACTTTCCTTGCCTGCTTTTCATATACAGTCTTTTTCTTCCTCATTGAATTTTAGTAGTTTTATTTTCACAAATACTAATTAGAATTTTTAACCCTTAGAATTCTTAATTCCTAGTAAAACCTAAGAAATAAACAATTGTGGACTGGAAAATTATAAATATGTTTCATCATTTCATA